AATAAGTAGATAGCAAACCAATACAGTAGAGGAAGGGGCTGAGGGAGAACAGAGAAGAGGGAAGAAGTATTGGGAACTGAAATGGAGCCAACTATGTTATATGCATTTATGAATATGTCAGAATGAACACCACTATTGTTATGTATAACTATAATGCACTGGTGAAAACATTTTTCATAGAAGTTAGATAACAGTGCCATTTTGTCATTCAATACAGAACACTGAATCTTTAGAGTGGCTAATTTCATATGGGTTTAAAGGTTTAATCTGTAGGACAAATAAAATTTAAACACAAAGGTAATAGAAATGGTATAGTCTTTTAAGAATTTGAAGATGACAGGTGTTCTTGCCCGTAGTCCAACCCAGCTCACAACAGTTACATTCATGCATGGTACCTCCAAATACAGAAGTCACCCCAACTCTAAGATCTCCAGATCTGAAGAACTTCTGTTACCCTCTTGTTCTTCCATCTGTCCTGTTAGGCCAGGCCAATCATACGTGCTCCTCATTGATTCTTTTGGCCCAAACCAATGTTCCAACTGGTCATGACTGCCTCTGGGCTTTCGCTTTCCTTTACCTCTGTTTCAGGCAAATTAAGGTCCCTGGCCTTCAACTTCCATTGCTTCTTGCAGAGTGCTTTGCTTTGGATGATACCTTCAAGCCTGGCCTTGGCCCCGTGAACATTGCTTCCCACTTCAGAGCAAGAATATCACCAGGTCTGTCTAACCTTGAATTCGCACATTATCTTTAGGACTGAGGAACTTATTCAGGGACAACTCAGTGTATCTACTTTAAATGGATCAAGGAAGAAAGAGAACGGTTGTTTTCAGGGATGAGGAGGATCATGCAGTATATCCTTCATTGTGGTGCCTTGGCGCTTACTTGACTACACAAGTTTTTATTGCACATTTGCTGCAGACAAGGCCCTATTCTAGGAGTAGGGGAGAGCAGACGACAACAAAGACAAAGTGCATGACCCCAGAGCTTTTAAATTCTAGCAGAGAGTCATAATATTGAACAACTAAGCATAAAATTAAAGAAGGCATTTAGATAGAACTCTGCACAATTCTTTTTTGAGAAACCACGACACACGTATTAGAATGTCTACAATTGAAGACATTAATCACAGCAAGTGTGGGGAAGTTTTGGTAGAACTAGAATTTTCACACACTGCTGGTAAGAGATTATAATGGTATAATCACTTTGGGAAAGGTTTGGCAGTTTTATAAAATAAAACATGCATCTATCTTATATTCTAGATATTACACTGTTAGGTATTCACCCAACATAAAGAATATATCACCTCAAAATGTGTGCACAGATGTTCAAAAAAGCCTATTTGTAATGATTAAAAGATGGGAACTGCTCAAGGCCTCAAGCAAGGAACTGTTCAGTTCTCAAGCAAGAAACTGCTAAAGGTGAATAAATAAACACATTTTGGCACATCTATACAATACACTACTGCTGCTCAGCAATAAAAAAAGAGTGAAACATTGAACAAATGCAATAACACGAATACAGCTCAACAGGGCAGGCTGATTGAAAGAAGTTAGACATAAAAAGTACAAACATAAAGTAGAACATACTGCATGACATCATCTATAAAAACATCTAGAAAAAGACACACTAAACAGTAGTGAAAAAAATCAGACCAGCAGTTGGGGACAAGTAGGCACAAAAGAGCTCTGCTCATTTCTTATAGAAAGTTACATTTACAAATTCCCATGCTTGTTTTTTTTTTAAAAATATAACTGGCTATCAGATATTCACAAAGTCTTTAGGTCTTAAAAGTACTTCTAAAAGAAATACATGTTAAGGTATGATTTTTACCCTTAGATCAATTGCTTTGACTATTAAAACCCTTTTCAGCCTTTGGACTAATTCAGTATTATGTAACTTAGATTTCTAGGTTCAGGGACCAGTTGTGGGTCTATCATGAAAAATTTCTTGCTTCTCAACCATGGATGATCTCGGGGCCTCCTGTTTGTATTCTTCAGGTTATTCACAGGGATGGAATGAGTCTTTACTGCACTGTGTTCAGAGCCCTTGCTTTTAGTACATGGAGACAAGCCCTTGGATCTGTTTATTTGCCATTAACCATGAACAAGATGATGTTACATAACCTCTTTTCCGGGGTGAAGCAGAGCAGTTTTGAGTGCAATGGTAAAATCACACATGAACTCCCAGCTGGTGGAGAGTAATTGATCATGTCTGCCTGGAGAAGCATTTAGAGATGGATTCTGAGGCTCAGGCTGGGACTCATCAGAAAAGAAATTAGGATTGATAAGTGAAATCTGCTATGGGCAAGGAAGGGTGAACTTGTATGTGGCAGGAATTTTCTAGTCCATACACACTGACATCCTAGGAATGGCCTGACTTTCTGGATTTCATTTTAATTTCTACAAGGAAGTGCATTCTTAATATTATTCTAAACTTAGGAAATTAGTGCATGCTCAGTGCAGAACCCCCAGACATATACACTTCAAAATACCTTCATGCACTTTGCTCTTTCCGTAGGTGTGCTCTTCAATCTAGAAAATATTTCTGGGTTTTTTCAATTTCAGACACAATGATGAGAACATAATTAGATGTTTCTTTGTGTGTGTATGTGTTTGGGTCTGTCTGTCTATGGACTTGGTGCAGGGCAAAATGTATTCCTTATGGGTCATGGTAAATATAGTTTGAAAGTCACCACTCAGACCATATCCCTTGATAACCAGAGCCTGAAGGGAGAGAAAAATGATTCTTATGTTTTACTGACTTGGCATATATCATCAGTCTTAATCATGTCAAATCCACGTGCTGTTTTGGGAGCATGGATTTGAGCAGGACTAGTAAGCAAGGTTGGCTTCATACACACAGAAGCCTGGTGCAAAAGCTCAAGCCTTACAGCTCTATGAGCACACCCAGGCTACGTCCACCTCCTCTCTGCTCTAAGTGATTCTCTGTCATTAGTGAATGCCTTCTTCCTATCCTCAGAGAAAACTGCTCTGCTTCTCAGAAATTAAGGAAAATACAGTCCTCTGCCAGATCCACTCCCACCTACTCCAGCTCCTTAAATACACACAGAATGTATAACATTTTACTGTTTATCATGACTCCAACTATTGGGCTGTAGCCACATCCCAATTTTCCTACTGCCTGAAGAGAAGGGTGATTGTAGGATGTTTTCACTAATCGGTGATTTAGATAGCCCAATGCCATTTTGAGTGACAGTCAATAGATTTATAAAAGCCATAAACCTGACCCATGTTAAGAAGAAACTGATTAAAGTACAAGGTAAGGAGCATGGGTTATTTTCCCAGCAGGGCCCAACTTATGTTTCTCTTAAGAATACAAGCTAGTGGTCAGAATCTGAACTAACAGGACTGAGGGAAGAAGAGGGGCTTCCTTGGAGACTCAGAGTTTATTATGCACCTGCAATCTCATCATCTCAAGGCTTATACTGTGACCATAAATACATTAATAATTGGGCTCTCTTTTAAATGATTCAGTGGGGTAGCACATACAGGAAAATTACCCTTAGGTTGTTTCAAGGGATGGGAAGAGGTCAAATAATAAGATCTGTGCTTAGTTTTTCAGTAGCTAGCAGGAAGTGGGAATGGTTGTCTATACTCTAAGAGAATTCCTCCCACTGGCCTCCAATGGGGTCAGCATGATTCACAGGGGGCAGTGTAGATAAGTCTCAATACTCCCCCCACCCTCCCACAATGTTTACTAAGCTTCAGCAAATCATATATATTTTTGATAAGTATCTGTTTATTATAACTGATAAGACTGTCAGAGTAAATAGGACATGCATTCTTTGGGAGTAAAATTTCTAAATGACGGACATAGTTCTCTTGTAAGTTGTGAGTGTACTTCTAGTAAACATGACTGAGCCTCAACTTCCAATCAAGTAGAAAGTTGTAACAAGGGCTGAGACCGTGGTCACTCTGGCCACTCCTCCTCTCTCCTGGTTCCCTTTGGGGCATGTGTTGTGGGGCACTGTGGAGGTCTTAGGCAAGTTTTCCATTGGAGGTTCTGAATTAGACTAGTCAATCAATGGAGGAGCCAGTGCTTAACTAGCCTTCCCCCCAGCTTCCTGTCTCAGCTGTGTAATCCATCATTATGAACTGAAATCTCTCATACGATTTCAGAGAGCAACCCAGTGCTATTAAAACTCCTTCTCACCTCTCTCCATGGAAGTTACTCCCTAGATCACATGGACCAGAGGTTTACCCTTCGTCTTTTTGGACCCCTATTGTCCCATCTCTAAAAGTAGAGAAATGTTGCACCTGTTTACCTTGTAGGATTTAGAATGGATAGAAAGGAAGATGGAAAACTTGCAAATGATTCTATGTGAAAAGATGGGGCAGTGGAGAGAGATCCGAAGTATTAATGTCCTGGCTTGCCCTCTGCAGTCAGATGAGTGATGTGAATTCATTCTCTGAGCACAACATTTTATACAGAAACACTGAGAGATTGGTTATGATGAATGCAGGTGATTAAAATGGATTATTTTCTTAAAAATTGACCACAGACATGAACATTGATAATTTTTTATTTGACATCTGGATTTTTAACTTATATATTTGCATAACATAATCAAAAACTATTTTTAATGATTATCTGCTCAGAATCACAAGATAGTTAACTGATCCCTTTTAATTCTCTATTTGCAATCTGAGCATCACCCTGGTGTAGCACCGAGAAGAAAACAGTTGTTGGTCACTTTCCTTATAGTGACATAGGCACTCTCTGTACATGGAACACATTGGGCAGGTTCTCCTTAAACTGTGGATTGTATGGCAAGATTGGGTTTGGTAAATACAATAGGGAAGGGTAGAAGAGATAGGAGGGTCTCTACATAAGAGAGACATGAATACATTTTTTTTTTTTTTTTTTGTACTGGAGATTGAACTCAGGGGCACTCAACCACCAAGTCATATCCTAAGCCCTATTTTGTATTTTATTTAGAGACAGGGTCTCACTGAGTTGCTTAACACCTTGCTGTTGTTTTGAACTTGTGATCCTCCTGCCTCAGCCTCCTGAGCCTCTGGGATTTTAGGTGTGCGCCACCATGCCTGGCTGAATACATTTTGATGTACTAGATAGATGAAGCTGGCCATGTCAGTAACTTACAAATGCTAATGTGAGCGCTGAGGAGTGTTAAGGAACCCCTTATACACAGTGTCCAGCCCCTCCTATTTCATAGCTAAGTTCTGGGGTCCAGGGAACTTAGACTGATAGTAGACTGGAACAAGAACACTGGCTTTAGGTTCTGTCTCCTTGGTATACAATATTCATTGATCATCTTAGATTCAATTTCTGGTCATTTGAATAAATACTGGTCTATGAACCATAATTTTTTTTTTAAGGCTGAGGTATGTCAAAACAAGTTAATTTTTATGTTAATTTTCCCCTGCACATTTTTTTATCTAGGTTGTAATGATGATGATTATCACCACCACACAAAAACTTAGCAATCATACTTTCAAATTGGTGTTTAACGCAGAAGCAGGGTATCATGAATTGTCATTTATCTTTCACCCACAGACTACAAAACCATTTTCAAATCTAACAATTAGGCCAATTATTCTTGACTTATTATTTATGCTAAAGACAGTAATGAGGTCAGGGTGAAATGGTTCAGTTTTAACACACCAATCTGGAAGAATTTCTTTTTTGCAGGTAAAAGGTAACATTGTATTATGTAGAAAAATTAACATTAGGAGATACTCAGAGGCAGCCCTCATTGTCAGGCATTTAAGGATGGCCTAGATTCTAAGAGGAACCTCAACAGAAGTTTTTTTCTGCTTCAAAAATAAAAGAAGTATTTGAAGATATATGGAAAGATTAAATAATCAGTAGTGATTTTTTTTATAATGGAATGATCCACATGAGCTTTCCAATCAATGTAATAGAGTTGATTTACTTTCATAACACATAATTTTTCCACACTAAAATTGAGATCTATCATTTATAGTGTCACTTGGATTATCTAAACAGTAACATCTTTGTTTATTTTATTCATGTCTTGTGGTGCGGTGGGTCGAACCCAAGGCCCTGTGCATGCTAGAAAAGTGCTCTATCATTAAATTATGTCCTCAGCCCCTCACATCATTGAAACAAGTGGGCTTCGATGCAGAAGTTTAGATTCCTGCAAACCTGGTTGAATTGTTCATGTAAAGCAATAAACCATTGGCAATAAGGTAAGGCAGAGGCACACCAGTAGATGCCCGTCAGCAGGTTAGTTTTTGATAGCCATGGTCCAGAGGAGTGGATGGCTGGTCTCCACAGTCACAACACCAGACCCATCGTAGGTATTAGAAGTACTGACCAGTGTTCCGAAACCAAGCACATCATTTGCTGTAAGAGGGGAAAAAAAAATTAGTGAGAGGAAAACTTTTTCCAGTGTAGACTGACTTTGTCAATAGTTACCAAAAAAGCAAAGAAACACACACTTTTTATAAAAGATATATGAAATGGAATAGGTTAAATAAATGATATAGAGTTTTAAAGAAAAAAATGTCTATAACTTGCTACTACTATTCTTCCTAGAACTGGTTATTTACCATTTTGGGATGTATACCAATATTAATAATAAATTTCATTGAATTGTTTTCTTTCTTTTTTTCTTTACCAATTGTAAAACAAGAACCCACATCTTTAATGTGTCATTTACTCCCTTGCCTTGGTACAGTTTTATTTTTTCTTGATGATTCAGAATTAACATTTTACACGTTATTAAATGTAATATGGATACAATTTTAGTTTCAAATATAAAAGATAGATGACATAAAGCTGATTATCTAAAAAAATAAAGAAAAGAAAAACATGAGATTTTTGGACACATTGAATATGGCTTATGTTCTTTAAAATTAACAGGAACTCCATGGTCAAGGCAGACTTTCAATTTGATTTTGAGCAAGTCATTTAAACTCAGCAATAAAATAAAGAGATGACATCATCATTTAAACTACTTAAAGTAAAAAGTAAAAGCCCTACCAGTTAAGTTATATAACTTTCGTACATACAGATTTGCATTTCTGGCAAGTGAGTGCCTAGGCACAGGTTGGTACCACCTTCTTCTCTGTTCACATAGGAGCACTGACCCTGAACTCCTGACTGTCCTATGAAATTCCTTGATAGCTTATATTTTGTTTGGTAAAATTTGAAGAGGAATAAAAACTTCAGCGTCAGAAGAGGTCCCTTTTCCTTCAAACAAAACCTAACCATGGATTTACAGTGTGAGGGAAAAGATTCCATCTCAAAGCTCACTTCCCACTAGAGGGAGCCTGCCATCTTTCCTTGAAGTTTCAAACAGGCACTCTAAAAATTCAGAGATGGTGTTACTAGATAAGAGAAAGTCAGCATTACCAGTTCACATGGTTTATTTATTAAAGTTCAAGTTGTTTTATGGCTGTCAATGTCTTTATTGATGCAAACATAAAGCTATACAGTAGCACCTCACATAAACACGACACAAATTTGTAACTCAGTGGAAGAAGCTCCTGCCTCTTCAGTATTGGGATTCTGGCCATACAAAGTTCCTAAGCGGTGGTGATGCATGCATCAATATTTGCATATATAGACATTCTGGCACAAAGAGTGTGCTGGTTGTCATGGTGGGATTCTTGATAAAGTCCACTTGGCATCTCTGTGGAAAAGAGAAGGCTTGACTCTCCTGAGTGGTGGTCTTGCCTGGTAACTTGGTGCTCACCAAGTGACTTCCTGAGACCCATCCCAGGCCCAGGGTTTCAAGGGTTTCCCAACAACCAAAAGGGAAGGAGCTGGGGAGCAATTTGAACATGTCATACTACTTATCCATCATAAGTACAATTGAGGATGCTTTAGCAGGTCCCTCAGGAAGGACATGTACACATAAGCTAGCTGAATTTGACACAGTCTATTTTAAGATTCTGCAAACTAATAAGATCAAAATCCTAGTTTTTACCTGAGCTTAAAGGATAAAAGCATAAAATGTTCCTCCAGTTTGTAGTTGCATAATTTCTTTCTGAAGGTAAACTTATGTATTCTAGGTTTTGGGGGACAGTTACAGACATTGTACATATTGGTTTTTCTAAGACACTGTAGCATCCTAATTAGTTCTTAAATGGGAAAAGAACTAACTGCAATGACTATATTGGGACATAAGAACAAGCAATATTTTCCTGCAGGAAACATTTCTTGGCATTAAGCAAGGCAACTATTAGCCATGCTTATAAACTGTATTTTTATTTTATTTTGTAATAAAGTTTCATTAAAACCAGTTACACAATTATAACTGATTAAAGGTAGAAAATTGTATTTGATAATCTCCAGCTTTAGAAAAGTATGGTAAAAATATCAAATTAAGATGAATAAGCTGAAACACAAAATCATGAATTTCAATTTACTATGTCACACGCCAATTACTTTGGAATATATTATCTCCAAGTCAAATAATCATATTTTTGGATAAAACATCATGTCTTTCTTAGAAGAATAAAAAAATTTTGAAAAAAATATTTGAAATTGTGATTGAATACCCCTACCCCAAATGTTGGAGGGTCAATCTTGAAATAAAATACAGTTTTTTTTTTTCTTATATGAGATGCTTATGACCAGAAGTGTTTCAAATTTTGGAATTTGTGTGTGTGTGTGTGTGTGTGTGTGTGAGAAATATCCGGGGATCCAAATATGAATTTCTTTTATGTTATATATATATATATATATATATATATATATATATATATATATATATATTCCACATACACATAGGCTGAAGGTGATTCTACATAATATTTTTAACATGCCTGCATTTTTGACTGTTACCCTCACATGTGGTCAGGTATGTAATTTTCCACTTGCACTGTCATGCTGAGGCTCAAAAATTTGGGGATTTTGGGATTAGGGATGATCAATCTGTGCATGAAAATAGCAGAAAGATAGCTACATGCAGACAGGGGAAAACAAGTAACTTCTTTATTTCTACCCTAAAGGACTTTTCCAAAACATTGTTTGATGAACTGATAGAAAATTTAGAGTCAGGTTTGCACAGAGTCGAGTTTAGCTAACCACAGTTGCTCCAAGACAACCAGTTATTCAGAGCACATCCTTTTTTAAACAAAAGACAAGAATAAGATTTACAGATACATGTGTAAGATAGTAAGCAACTATAGGATGTATGACCAACATAACCAGCTATCACTGTGTGAATGTGAAAACTGTGTCTTCTCTATTCATTTCCAGCCACGATCATCAGTTGTATTGAGGACAGGTTGTCTTGTAGTCTTGACAGTATGAATACTGGTTCTCGTGAAATTTAATAGGGGGTATATATTAGGGAACATGGAGGCATAGCCTAACTTTTGAGTTTTGATATTTTAGAGAAATAGTAGAACTTAAGATTATGAGAAAGACTGACATCGATTTTACATTTTTAAATCCATTATCTCAACCTGTGTTCCTCCCCTGTGGCAAGGTGCGAATCAGCCACTTGCTACTCTGTGTTCGGTGATGTCTTACAAGCTTTTCTTCAACACTGGAAAAAGACTGAGGACTTATGAAGTAGAAGCTGGCAAACTAGTGGGAATCAGTTATTCACCTCTGTTCACATCAGCTGCAGGGTAAGTGGGGCCACTTGCCACTGGTTTCCTGCCCTCCTTACCTCTACAAGCTGCTCAGTGGGCTGTGACTCTCCTGCACTGGTGACAGAAGCCCACTGATTCTGGAGGCCTCTGATGCCTCCAGCATTGATTCCAAGAGCAAAGCATTTTTTTTTCTTTGCACCTAAGTGACTATTCTGCTCCAGAGTTTTTACAGAGAAAGCAACAAGGACCCCATCATGATGGGGTGAATAAGGCAGTCCTAGGTGCAAGCTGGGGCTCCCCCATTTGTGAACTCTGTGGGCTCAGTTACTTAAACTCTGGCCTCAGTGATCTCAACTTAAAATGTGAATAATATCATCTCCTTCACAGAGAAGTTGTGTGGACCATTTGGTCCAAATTCTAACATGCAGTAAGTATTTAAGAAATTCTCATCTGCCTTGCTTTCTATGATTGTTATTCTGTCCATAAAATAGTCCAGGTTTCTCTTAAGAGAGAGGGAGAGAGGGGGAGAGAGAGATCATGATTTGAATAATTAGCAAATGCCTTGTTCAAGTGATTAATTTATAGCTGGCTGAGAGGTGAAATGAGGTTAATTCTCAATTCTGGTGGGCCAGCTTCTGTGGAACGACTTTGTAAAATCATTTCGGTGCCACCTTGGCCTGTGTATGTGTATGTATTCATTTGTTTACAGAGAGCTGGTCTGCCATATCCATGGCTTCTACTCTGTGAATTCAACCAACCATGGCACAAAAATACTCAGAAAAGAAAAACTGTCTGTACTGAACACACACAGCCTTGTTTTCTTGTCCTCACTCCTTGACAGTACAGTTTAACTACTACTAAGTAGCGCTACTAAGTAGTGTTTACAATGTGATAGGTATTATAAGTAATCTAGATTTAAAGTGTGCAGGAGGATGTACTTAGGTTATGTGCAAATACTATGCCATTTTTAAAGGAAGGGCTGAGCATCCAGATGTTGGTATCTATGGGGGGTTCTGGGGCTGGTCCTGCATGGACACTGAGGAATGACTATGACTGTAGTTATTAAAGTTTGACTCTGTGATGGCCACCAGGGTGGCCATTCCATTACAAGGACTCTTGGGGTTTCCGACCCTGCTGGAATGTGAGGTTCAGTTCTAGGAGCTCGACTAGACATACTGGACATCACTGGCTTTAAGATGTGATGGAGCCACCGTACCCTTATAGTCCTTATTTCCTCCCTGAAGATTCTTGTCCTGTTTGGAGAATTGCTACACATTAAGAAAATATGACTTAGATTTTATTCACTAAAAAGAAATGCAAACCATACTGTCTCTACCATAAGTTCACTATTATTGGTCTTCATAATTTACAATTTTTGGCATATAGATTTAAAAATGCTTTATATTTATGTACCTGTGGCAAAATATTCTATTCTAAAAATTGCCAATTTATGCTATAAAATATGAACTCTGGAAGTGGTTTTTATTAAAGTTATTCCTTGTAAAGTTGTGTTTACATTTAGCATTGCTCTTGAAATTTTTCAAAAGTAACATCGATATATTGCCTTTTCATTTCTTACAGGCGGAAAATCACAGCAGTCCTAGTGTTGAGCTATTGAATACATGGTTTCTGGTGTTTATGTTTATATTGGAGTCTTAAGAAATACAAGTTTGAAACCATCTATCAAAGTAAGAAATACTTTCAGTTGTCTGTCTATACCAGCACGGTCAAATGTAAATATGTGATCCACACATCTAGTAAACATTTCTGGTGAACACATTAAAAAACAGAAGA